TGGAATTGGGCTGCTCTTCTAAAACTGTGCCAGGCTGGGGAAAGGGAAATGAAAATAAGTAAAAAATGTCATGGGATTTCCTACTATTTTAAATGTGACTTTTTTCTCACTTGGCTGTTCACTTGGTTGCTGTAAACTTTCGTTTTAGAGCTCCCATAAGGCCACTTGAGTCAACTTTTGGTTGCTTTTTTGATGTCTCTGTCAGGGAGACAGAGTCTTGGAGCTTCCTTATCTGCCACTTTGATGATATCCTTTCCATCATTTCTGTTTATGACTGAATTATATTCCACTGTATGTATGTACCATATTTTTTTTGGCCATGGGTGAAAATGGGAATTATCTCCATCTTTTGGCTGTTGTGAATATAATGTTCTAATAAACATTAGTGTACAAATATCTGTTCAAGTCCCTACTTTCACTTCTTTTGGGTATAGGAAGAATCTATATGGCTAATCAACATTTGGCAGGATGGTCAAGGATTTGGTAATGAGGAGGTTTGAGGAAATAGAATGTAGTTGGAAGTTTCTGAATAGGCATAAAAATGAGAATATACTTGTCTTTCATTGAAAGCTTCCCCAGGACTAATTTTCAGAGGAAAATTGTAATAGTTAGGGAAGGTGATCTGCTTTGTGGATATCAGTCAGCCTCCTTCCCCAGAGAGAAGTCAGTGCCCAGTGGGCCCATGCCTAGAGTGACCATGGTGGCAGGGATGAAGGTTATAAATGGACACGCCAAAAGAGATGTCCACTCACCAAGGTCAGTGTGACGGCAGCCGCTGCTGAGCATCTTAACTGCCTAGAACAGAGACCAGAACTGGAGCCTCCAATACGGCAACATGTCTCACGGCGTTCAGTCAGGTGTCTCATGGAGTTGAATCATGTTGGACATTTCCTTTATGTAAAGGACAGAAAGTTGCTCTTATAGGAATAGATCCCTACTCTGTCGCATGCCCTGCCCACAATCTTCTGCCAAAACTTCCCTCCCTAGATTTATCCTGTGTAACATCGCTTTTGACTGAGGAATGAATTTCGTATCCTCAAAAGCAGGGCCTCGTCTCTTTCTAGGTCTTCTAACTTGTGTTCATAGGTTTCAAATCATCGTTGCTCACCTTCACTTTACATCCCTCTTCTGCTTCTGATTACTTGCCTTGTGATTATCCAACTCCAGCAACAGTTCTGAAGAATACACTCTGAAAACACTGTTTAACCAGCTCACACAACTAGATAAATTTAATTGCTTGTAACAAATTCCTTGGGTGTGTTTCCATGTATTGTGTGTATCTAGCTGCCTACATAACTACCCAACTATACCACTTAGTGATCTGCTTCATGAATGGAAACTTAGAAATTATAGCTGTTTTTGGTCATTTAAATTTGGACATTTGAGTGTGTGGGTATATTTGAATCTTTTTGTGGATTTGATTTTTTTCCTTATAACTGATTTTTTTCATATGTTTATTGGCTCTTTGGGTATTCTTCCATAGGAAGTATTTGTCTAATTCTGCCTATGCATTTTTTTGAAGTATTTAATTTTAAAATTTTATTTTATATTTCATAGTAACACGAGGTATTTTTCTGGGGTGACATTATACCACTTTTAACTTAGGTGCATACATGTACTTGTGCATAACACACACACACATACACATCTGCATCTGCACATTCCCTGAGACCTATATCATGGCAACCTTTGATGGTCTCTTCAATTCTTTCCTTACTACACTTTTGCTTTTTGCAGAGTGTCCTGTGAAAAGAGACAGAGATGAAAAGTTCAGACTTTGACTTCTTTCACTCAGAAAAATCCCTTTGAAATGCACCAGGTTGTAATGTGTATCTGGAGTTCATTCCCATTATCACAGAGTGTATTACCCACCTACCTTTTGTAGGAAGTTTGGGTTGTTTCCAGATTTGGGAGATTATAAGTAGAACTTCTATACATAAATATTCACGTACAAGTTTTTATGCAAGCATAAATTTATATTTTCTAAGGTAAATAATGAGTTGTGGGATTGTGGGGTAACATGCAAGTAAAGGTCTAACTTTTAAGAAGTCAAAAAATATTTCTTTGTCTGGATGCACCACAGTTTATTTATCCATTCACTTATTAAGGGCATCTTGGTTGGTCCAAGCTATTATATTAAACATAGTTTGGACCTATGACATTTTCAGCTTATGTTGGATTTATTTCTGTGTTGTGTTTTTATTTCCAAATTTCACTTGTTTGCAGCTGCCATGTGAGATAGTGATGGACTTCTACATATTATCCTTTTATCATGTAAATTTTGTATAATCACTTATTAATTCTAGGAAGTTTTTTGTTGCTACTTTTGGATTTTCTACAAAATCGTTTCATCTGCAAACAAAAACAGCCTTATTTCTTCTTTTTAGTTGTCTTATTGTGTGTGCTGGGCTCTCAGTACAATGTTGGAAATCGACGATGAAAGGGGACATTCCTGTTCCTGATCTTAATGGGAAAACTTTGAGTTCCTCATCACTAAGTGTGATGCTAGTTGTATGTTGTTTTTTTTTTTCTTGCAGAATTAAAAAGTCAAGTTGAGGAAGTTGAATTACTGATAGTTTTGGTCTTGAATGGTATTAGATTTTATCAAATTATTTTTTTGTATCTATTGATATGAGAACATGATTTTTTTCTTCTTTAACCTGTTAAAATGATGAATTCTAATTGATTTCTGAATGTTCATTCAGCCTTGCATACCTGACATAAATTCCACTTGGTAGTGGTGTATAATTCTTCTCTTTCATTGCGGGATTCAATTTTGTTGAGGGTTTTTGCATCTATGTTAATGAGAGATGTTGGTTTGGACTTTTCTTTCCTTGTAATGTCTTTGTCTAGTTTGGGTGTTGGGATAATCCTGGACTCACAGAATAAGGAAGGTTTTTTTTTTTTTCTGTTTCCAGCTTCCAAAAGAGAAGATACATAATTGGTTAATTTCTCCTTAAAAGTTTGGTAGATAGGCTAGGGTTGTGGCTCAGTGGTAGAATGCTAGTCTAGCACATGCAAGGCCCTGGGTTCGATCCTCAGCACCACATAAAAATAAAGGTATTGTGTTCAACTACAATTAAAAAATAAATGTGTTTTTTTTAAAAGCTTGGTAGAATTCACTGGTGAACTTTTCTGGATCTGTGCTTTTTACTTGGAAGTAATTTAATTATTGATTTAATTTCTTTAATAGATGTAGGCCTCTTCAGTATGTCTAATTCTTCTGTGAGTTTTGGCAGAACACGTCTATCGAGGAATTAGTCTATTTCATATTGTCAGCATAGAGTTGTTCAGAGCATTTGATTATTGTCCACTTAATGCCCATGGGATCTGTAATGATGGTTCCCTATTTCATTTCTGATATTAAATTGTATTCTCTCTCTTTTTCTTTTCTTAAAATTTTTTTAGATGTTTATGGACACAATACATTAATTTTATTAAGTTTTATGTGGTACCAAGGATCGAACCAGGGCCTCACACATGCTAGGCAAGCGCTCTACCACTGAGCCACAACCCCAGTCCTCTTTTTAACTTTTTGGCTTGGCTACAGGTTTACTGAGTTTGTGAATCTTTTCAAAGAACAAGCAATAAGTTTTCTTCATGGATTTCTAATCTTCAATGATATTGAATTCTGTTTTAATTATTACTTCTGTTTTTCTGTTTACTTGAATTTAATTTGCTGGTCTTTCCTTAGTTTCCTAAGATGCAAATTTAGATGATTGACTGTAGGTGTTTCTTCTTTTCCAATATCTACATTCAATGCTTTATATTTTCCTCTGAACACTGTTTTCACTGTCATCCAGAAATTTTGGTAAGTTTTTTTTTTGTCGTTGTTGTTGTTATTCAGAGTATACATATTTTTAAAAATTTCCTTAAGATTTCTTCTTTAACCCATATGTTATTTAATCCTATTTAGGATTTCCCCAGCTTTTTAAAATTGATTTGTAACCTAATCACATTGTGGGCTAGGGTTGTGGCTCAGTGGTACAGCACTTGTCTAGCATGCATGAGACACTGGGTTCAATTCTCAGCACCACATATAAATAACTAAAATAAAGGTCCATTGACAACTAAAACATATTTTTAAAAATTTACTAAGATGTGTTTTATGGCTGAGAGTATAGTCTGTCTTGGTGACTGTTCCACGTGACCTGAGAAGAATGTGTATTCTGCTGTACTCTGTAGATGTCCATTGTGACCATGATATCCGGATGAATTTAACTGTGTCTTTCCTGATTTGATGCCTGCTGGCTTGTCTGTCTGGGAGATGGATATTGAAATTTATACCTATAACTATTGGATGCATCTATCTCTTCTTGCATCTCTTATCGGTTTTTGCCTTGTACACTTTAAAGTGTTTTTTTGGTTAAGTTCATGCACAATGAGGGTTATTATATCATCTCATAGAATCACCCCCTTTACAATTGCGAAATTCCTATCACTATCCCCAGTAGATCTCCTTCCTCTGAGGTTGCTCCTTCTGTAATTAATAGTTATTCCTGCTTTCTTTTGATTAGTGTTATTTTGCCATATCTTTCTCCATTCCTTCCCTTTTAATCTACATGTGTCTTCATACTTAAAATGGATTACTTATAGAAAACATATGGTTGAGTCCTGATTTTTTGATCCATGCTGATAATTTGTACATTTAGATCATTGATATTCAAAGTGCTGATTGATATAGTTGGATTACTATCTATTATACTTGCTATTGTTTTGTCTTTGTTGCTATTGTTCTTTTTTCCCTTTTTGAACTACTTTTCATGTTATTTTAAATTAGCCAGATTGAAAGGAAATGGGAAGTATTGTTTGTATACATTGCAAGCAGACTTCATTTAATTAAAATGTATTTCCATCACTGTTAGAATTTTAATTTTATTGAATCTTTGTCTGTTAACCAATATAATTATTTTTTACATTACTTGAAGAGTTATTAATCCTTATAATTTTGAAGAAAGCATGTAATTTGCCTTTTTATTATTTTTGTCCCTTCAATTCAGATCATAGATTCTGCTCATCTTCCAGTCCATACACCAACAATAAAGACAAAGAAATATCACACTGGCATCCTCTTTCCTCCTAAGGTACTTGACCTAGTTATAAGCTTATTAGGGTTCTGTAAATAAGGAGAATACGTTGTTTTTGCTCTGTTATTGCCCTGGCATTTACTCATGGTAATTTTTTTGGGGGGAGGGGGAACTGGAGGATTGAACTGACTCAGGGTCACTGGGCCACTGAGCCACATCCCCAGCCCTATTTTGTATTTTTATTTAGACATGAAGTCTCACTGAGTTGCTTAGCACCTCACTGTTGCTGAGGCTAGCTTTAAACTCTTGATCCTCCCACCTCAGCCTCCTGAGCTGCTGGGATTACAGGCATGTGCCACAGTGCCCTGCTCATAGTAATTTTAAATGACAAAAATACTCAGAGCATTCCTCTTCATTAATAAGAAACCAGAAGCTGCATCATAAAGGAATAAAGGAAAACTTAGAAATATCATAAAGACTGTTTTCCAAAAGTTGACATAAAATAATATCCAAAATTATGAAACACTGTGAATTTTCAATTAAAATAAGGGATGCTAAAGAATTACCCCATATCACCATTAGTGTTCAGCAACTTATTAATATTCTAAAAAGTGCGATAAGAAATGAAAATAAAAAGACTGACATGAACAATAAAAGATAAAAACTACTTTATAATGTAGTTGATATGATTGTTTGTCCAGAAAACACACTCTCGTTTAAAAAACTAAAATTAGATAATTTGCATATAAGTTAAATTTCAAAATAATGCAGGTTATCTACATTATATAGTGAAAACCTAGGAAAAAAAACTAGAAATAATTGGCATATCAACGTCAACAAAAACTAATAATAAAATAAACATGATGAGCTATCCGTTCTCTCAAAGTTAATGTCTGACTTTAAGGCAGCATCAATGAGAATACCAAAAGTCATTTTTCCTTCCAATTTCTGGCTGAGCGTGACAGGTTAAATGTGCATATATTTCTGCTCTGTACTGACATACATTAACGAGAGGAAAAAGAGTAGAGAAGTTAACATGATTTTGGAAGTGAAGGGTTGGCAGAGATTAGAAATCTGATTGTCACGTTAGCAAGATGATTATTATCTCAGGATGAACCCAAGAGAGACTAGTGAGTAGAGACCCCAGGACCCTCGGTGCTGAGAAGGGGGGAGCTAGTTGAAGAATGATGTGAGAAGTAGGTAGACCTTTGTATAAAAATAGATATTGCCTCTGGCAGGAACTATAAATATCCACAATCCAGATGAGGACACAGAGACACAAGTGCAAATTGCCCCTAATCATTGGAGAGGCCAAACTGGTTATAATTTACATATGGCTAATTTATGCTAATAACATTGACGATAAACTTTAATATGCTAATATTATTTATGCTAATTACACATTGATAATTTATGCAGTGATTTGGGGCTCTGAGGCATGGTCCGGAAATGGGAAATCCACTGTGGATTACCAATTTATAGGTAAATCTGTGAAGATGTTTGAAGTTCTAATTATTGGAGTTTTATTTAGAAATTTCAGAATGGCCTCTTTCGGAACGAGGTACATTCTGGCCTGTTTCACACAAGGTGGAGTGTATTGATTCATGGAGTATATTAATATTTATTGAAAATGGAAAATTAAATGCATTTTTTTTATAGAAAGTTTGAACGTATTTTTTTCTCCAAAGAAGTATAATATAAAACTATTATAAAAATGTAATTGTCGTCACTTGCTTCTGCACATAGGCCATTCATACTTAATTCATTGTTAAAGACCAATTTGAAGAATTTATCAATCTACCAAGCACCTTTTCAAATGTTTAGGACAGACCAGCACAAATCAAGTCTAGGTTTTGTTTACTTGGTTCCAAAAAACTTTAATAAACATTAGATTGCACATAATAACGATGATGATCATAACAATAATAATAATTTGGACAATCTGGGGGTTCTCTTACTCAATATTTTCCAATTAAGAAATAAGTAGGGGACAAGAATCTGTTTTGCTGGTGAGGTGAGGAAAGGGCTTCTTTTCTTGGTTTGGAGATATTTTGGTCCGGGTGGGTTTGAAGGAGTCACCTTTTCAAAATCACTTAATCATCATGGTGTGTTTGGCCTCTTTTGTAGAGTAAGACCCACCAGTTTTTCCTCACGTCCTTTAGTGCTCCTACCAAGTGTCACCAATGCACGTCTCTGATGGTGGGTTTGATCAGACAGGGCTGTGCCTGTGACGGTAAGACTGCCATGGGAAGGGACACGTGGGTTGGAGCCATCCTGGTTATTCCTAAGTTATTCAGCAGAAGAGTTTCTTCTCTGTAAGAAGCACTGCAGTGAAGGGATCACTCTCCTAAAACCTGCTGTGTGTGGGAAAGACTGACGGATGGTCCTCGGAAACGGTTCAGCAGGACCTTGGCATTCTTGAGTCCCCTTAGCTCCAATTCCCTCCGTCTACGTGGACGGCACCCCTTGGATGTGTTCAGTGCGGGCCTGCAGGCAGGGTCACATCTACGAGGAAATGTACTTACATACATTTGTTCTTTGTCACATGGTAAGATTGTGAAGGCCAGATTCACTAGCTCATGTGACAAGAAAATGTTGCAGTGATTATTCTGGGTCTTTCACAGCCTCGTTTTACTCCATTTATTTCCATACACAATATTGAAGGAAGACAAGATATTTTCAGAAACATTAAAAAGTCCATCACTGTGCCACGTCAGCCACTTCATTCCATATATCAGGGACATCCGCTGTCCCTGCTGGTTTTCTTAGCCGGTACGTCAACAGCTCTCAGGGCTTCATAACAGAGTCAGACTTCCGGCCCCCTGCATGGTGTCAGCAGGCTCCACCTTCCCTGTCCCTGCGGTGACACAATGGATCAGGAGTGGGGAAGTCTGTGCTGGGCTGCAGAAGCAGGCTCTGAGCTGTGCTCCCAGGCATCCTGGGCCCCCAGCACCCCCCTGCTTAGCAGCCGCTAGTGTAACAAGGAGACAATAGATCAGGGAGCAAAAGCGACCTTGGGACCTGCTACAGCTGCACCCCCCACCCCCCAATCCACAAGACGCCAGTGTAGCTGGGACTCCACGCTGGCAGAGGGAGCGTGGAGCCACAGGAGAAAAACAGGTGCTCTGCATCCTGCGTCTTCTGTCCCAGCATGATGCAGTCTCCAACATATGTATGTTCTTGGTGGAATTTTTTTTGTGTGTGTGTGTGTTTTTTTTTTTTTTGGCTGTGCTGGGAATTGAACCCAAGACCCTACACCTGCTAGGCAAGGACTCTGCCCCTGAACTACACCTCCAGCCCTGTTAGTAGGACTTAAATGAGGTCCCACACCTTCGTTGAAAGGCAGTCTGGGAAAGACAGCTTTTTGCATTTCAAACTCGACCACAGCAGACAACTGTGATGGAGGGCGAGGGTCTGGAACCATCATATCCACCACAATCGTGTCTCTCTATTTCTCTTAAAAAGCATGTGGGTTCTTGTGTCACACAACCTGTGTCGAAAAAGCTCCAAGAGCTTGTCCAGTGCCTGATCACCAGAAGAAAGAACCCTTCTGTCTAGACCCATGGCAGGGTCTGGGGACAGCCTACGAAGGCCATGTCTGGGTAAGTGTCAATAGTTTGGTTTCTATGAAGTCTTAGAAAGTTTGCTAATCACCTGTCACTTAGGGAGCACAACTGTCTATATACCAATATAAATATAAATACCTGTGTGTGTGTGTGTGTGTGTATACACACACACATATATATACCCATATATATATATACTATATACTGTATATACCCATATATATATACTATATACTGTATATACCCATATATATATGTACTATATACTGTATATATACATATATACCAATATAAATGTGAAATATATGCACACACCTATAGATGTATATAGGTATATTTACATATATATGCATATATAATTTGTATTATTTATATACACAATGCAATATAAATTATAGTATATATAATTGAAAATTTTTGTTCCATACTAGGAAAATTATTTCAGAACAAAATGTATCTGTCTCTAGAAAGACAGTTTTAAATGTCTTGAAGTTTTCTCTTTCCTTGTGATCAACATATGGTGAAATTCCTACTAATGGTGTAACTTTGACTTCCAGTCAGGTATCATAAAGTATGAAACGAAAAGCCAACTGCCCTTCTTTAGAAATGTTTAAAATGTGAGTTGAATTTGAAGCAGGTGTTGCCAGATCTGAATTTGGTGCTACGCAGAGGCAAAGCTGTAACAATTTAATGATTGACAAGGGTTAAGTGAAATGGCATCAGTTTTATTTTCACAAGACAGGAGCAGTTCAGTCCTCACAGGAATAGCTTTGTCTTTAAAAATTGTAACGATGCTACACAGTTCTGTTCTATATCTTTAACAAGGAAAGTGGCCTATTTGTAACATTTTTTATTCTTTCAATTTTGTATGGGTAGTATTTGATGTTTCCATTTGGATTATTCTTGTCTTTAAAAAAAAAAAACCAATAAACAAAAGATCCCAAAGAAAACAGGAATGAAAAAAGGCTGGCAGAGAGCACTGGTTATAGTCTGTGACTTCAAACTCTTCTTCTACGACATAAACGAAGACAGAGGCTCAAAACCCAATGCCGTAGTGAGTCAAGTGATTGACATGAGGTAAGCTCCGGAAAGTGGACATTTTTGTGTCAAATGTCTATGCATAAAATTGGTTCCTGATATTTTAAAAAATGATATTGTCATTTATGTTAAGTCTTCAGTTTTCTCCATTGCCGAGTGAAATTTACAATGCAGGATTTTTGCCTAAAGTTTGTTATCATTACCTTTTAGGCATGGATTTGAAGAAATATTTATAAAAATTGTTTCAAAGTTTATTTTATTATTACTTGCATGTGTGTGTGAGTGCGTCTGTTTGTGTGTGTGTGTGTGTGCTGTGAGGATGCATGTATGTGTGTGTAGTGGGAAAGGATATAAACCTCAAAGATAGACTTTTTAAATTAAGGTGTAACATATAAAATTATTTTAAAGTGTGCAATCCACTGATTTTGAAGAATATTCTAAAGATCACACAATCATTACCAACAGTCTAATTTTAGAGCATCTGTACACACTACAGCAAAAAATCCCCATGTTCATTAGCGGCCACCCTTCTGTCTCCCCTGGCCCCAGCCCCTGCCAATCACTAACCTATTTCTCATTTTATCCCTTGGATTTGCCTCTTCTGGACATCTCTTTTGGATGGAATCTTGTAGTGTTCTTCTAAGAATAACATTTTTAGGTTCCCCATGTGACACGAATCAGTGCTTCATTACCTTTTATGATTTATAACCTTTATCAGACTAAGGATGTGAGTTGCTTTCTATTCCTAGTCTGTTGAGCGTTTTTATCTGGAGAAGGTGTTGGGTTTGCTGCATGGTTTCTGTGCCCATTGAGGTGAGCATGTAGGATTTTCCTCCTTTATTCTATTATCATGTGTACCACACTGTTTGGCTTTGTATGTTAAACCAACCTTGCATTCCTGGGATAAATTACACTTGGTCTTGGGTTTGTTTTTGTTTTTTAACACAATGACTTTATTTTATTTATTTATTTTTATGTGGTGCTGAGGATGGAACGCAGGGCTTTGCACATGTAAGGCGAGCGCTCTACCACTGAGCCATAACCCCGGCCCCTGGTCTTGGGTTTTAATCCCTTTAATATGTTACGGGATTTGGATTGCCCAAATTTATTGGAGAGTTTTACATTAACATTCATGCAGAATATTGGTTCTTGTTTTTCTTTTCTTCTGATATATTTGTCTGGTTTCAGTATTAGGATACTACTGGCTCAGAATGAGTTAGAAAGTACTCTCCATTGGGGGGAACACTTTAAAAATGATTTGAATTAGTTTTTGTCAGCATTTGATATAATTCCCTGGTGAAGCCATCTATCTGGTCCTGGGCATTTCTTTATGGTAAGTTTTTTGATTAGCAGTTCAATCTCCATTTATTATTATTATTATTATTATTATTATTATTATTCTGGAGATTGAACCCAGAGGTGATTAGCCACTGAGCCACATCCCCAGCCTTTTTTATTTTTTTATTTTGAGATAGAGTTTTACTGAGTGGCTTAAGGCCTGCCAAAGTTTCTGAGGCTGACTTTGAACTTGTGAACCTTCTGCCTCAACCGTCCGTGCCTCTGGGATTACAGTCGCGCACCACCCATCTGGCTTTGTTTTTCTGATTAATAGTCCAATCTCCTATTAGTTATACGCTTGTTTAGAATTTCTTTGTCTTCTTGAATCAATTTCAGTATTTGTACCTACCTAGGAATTTTTCCATTTCATGTAGATGATCTAATTTGTTGTTCACAGGATTCCCTTTTACTTCTTAGAATTTCTGAAAAGTCAGCAGTAATGTCCTCTTTTTAATTTCTGAGAGCAATTTGAGTCTTTTCTCACTGTTTTTCTTGGGCTAAAGGTTATTCAATTCCATTGACCTTTTCAAAGAACCAGTTTTTTAGATTTATTGATTTTCTCTATTGTTTTTCTATAGTTCATTAGTTTGCACTTCAGTCTTTATTATTTTCTTTCTTCTGCTTGCTTTGGGTTTAGTTTGTTCTTCTTTATCCGGTTTCTTAAGGTGGACGGTGGGTTATGGTTTGAAACCTTTCTTCTGTTTCCATGTCAGTAACTACATCTTTAAATTTCCCTGTGAGAGAGTGAAATTTTGCTATGTTGCATGCTTTTTCCATTTATCTCAAAATATTCTCTAACTTATGTTTTCAATTTCTTATTTGACCCATTAATTATTTGGTAGTATGTTGCTTAATTTCCATATTTTATAAATTTTCCAAATTTTATTTTGTTATTTTTTTCTAATTTCATTCCATTATTAGTCAGAAACATGCACTGAATAATTTCAAGTCTTTTAAATTCATTGAGAATTGTTTCATGGGATTATACGTGGCCTTTCCTGAACAATGTTCCATTTGAATTCAAGACTGTATTCTGCTGTTTTAGATGAAGTGTCCCACAGAGGTCTTGTTATAATATGGTGTTGTTCCAGTCTGTTTCCTTGCTTACCTTCTTCCTAGTTGTTGTTCTGTCATAGAAAGTCAGGTACAAGAATCTCCAACCACTATTGTTGAATTGTCTGTTTCCTCCTCTCAATTCTGAAGGATTTGCTTCATGAATTTGGAGACTTTGTTGTAGATGCTGCATACATGTCTGTCATTTATTCTTGATGGATTGACTTTTTTATCACTACAAAAATCTTTGTCTCTAGTAACAATTTTTGTCTTATAATAATTTATTTCATCTGATTTTTTTTTAGAGACAGTGGGAGAGAGAGAGAGAGAGAGAGAGAGAGAGAGAGAGAGAGAG